CCTCCTGCCTTAGCTTTCCAAGTGTTATGATTGCAGGTATGTACTACCATACCTGGCTCTTAGTGCAGTTCCAGGAGTTATGACGGGAAGAAACATGGATAAGCTTTATGTAAAAATAGTTTTGAATCGTTTGAGTCTCTTTTAAAGGAATCTAAATTAGAAATGAAGGCAGCTCTGAAATAATGTTAAGCCAAACTTTTTTTTTTACTTGCGGAAGTATATGGATATTGTAAAATGCAAATCTCTGCTAATGAATGCTCCTACACACATTATCTCATTTGGTGTGGATGTGGATTGAAAGCATGCCTCTGCTTCTTCAGCTCCTTGTCGTCTTGTTCCTGTCACCGGAGGCATGCCAGAATTGTCTTGGGGTGGGGAAGGAGGGGAGGGGGGTGGAAACAACCTAAAGTTTCTAAATAGATTGAGTATTAAAGTTGGGTGTTGGTGGCTCATTCCTGTAATTCTTGCAACTCAGGAGACTGAGATCTCAGGATGGAAGCCAGCAGGGCAGGAAAGTCCATGGACTATTTCCAGTTCACCAGAAAGTTGCAAGTAGAGTGTGGCTCAAGTGGTAGAGTGCAATCCTTGAGCAGAGAAAAGTAAGGGACAGGGCCCAGGCTCTGAGTTGAACACCCCCACCCCCACCCCCACCCCCACCCCCAGAAAAAATAGGGAGGATTTTAAAAAATAATAACTGGTAATTACTGAGCAGTTAACATAGCCAAAGTTCTGTAGTAAATGTAGTGAGGAAACCAAGGCTGGGAGGGGGGAAGATTTGCTCCAGCTCCTCACTGTCATTGCTGGGCAACTATGATTAGTGTTTGTTTTCTTATTATTCTTAAAGTCAGACATAGCTTTAATATTCTATTGTTCAGACTAACAATTTTGTAAGCAAAAGTGTTCATTCTGGTGCATCATATCCTGTATGAAGTACATACACTTGAAGTGGGCTTTCACTTCCTGTTTTTTTTTTTTTTTAATTTTTTCTCTAGCTTTCCTTAATTATGGTACCAGGCCTCTTTTCCCTTCCCTGATTCCATCAGTGGTATAAGACCTATCACTAAGACAGTACAGAGGTCATCTGATAATCATTTGTGGATTGCATCTCAGCTTCAAAAAGTTGAGAGCTAGAGCACCTAAACATTCTGCATGTCAGGCAATAATTATGCACATGAATCACACAGAAAGCTATGAGAAAACTCCAGCCTTCCAGGCACATCTGAAAATGTTAGTGCAATATTTAAATGGTAACCCAAGAAAATGTCACTGCTGAGGGTGTTTTCTAGTGGATAAATGGAGCATAAAGAAGTAAGACATCCTAGTCTAACCAGCTGTGTGTATATTTCTTTTATTATTTTCCAAAGATAGCAGCTTTCATCCTTAGCTCAGTCCACAATGGCTTCATGTACTGCTGTCCCCACAGCAAATTAGGCTGGCCTGCCTTCGAAGATGTTGTCTTACTGATGCTTGGTTTGACCAGGGTTCAATTTATTAGCTATCTCTTCTTTAGTTCACCATCCAATAGTCTAGATCTTCTAGTCTAATCACCTGGCTAGCCTATCAATAGATTGATAAGCTCAGCTTTCATATTTAGAAAGTGAATGCTTTCCTCTGATAACAAAGGGCTGTGTTTTGTTACTTGATAATGGCCCCCTCAAGACTATAATGCATTTCTTTTTAGGTTATCTAGAATAGCAGTCTTCCAACTTCTTCTTCTTTTTTTTTTTTTTTGTCAGCTGTGGGGCTTGAACTCTGGGCCTGGGCGCTGTCCCAGAGCTCTTCAGCTCAAGGCTAGCACTCTACCACTTTAGCCACTACGCCATGCCAGTTTTCTGGTGGTTAATTGGAGATACGAATCTCATGGACTTTCCTGTTGGTCTGGCTTTGAACAGCAATCCTCAGATCTCAGCCAGAGTAGGTAGGATTACCGGTGTGAGCCAACACACTCGGCTTCTTCAAATTTCTTTTGTCATGCAATTCCCATCAGTATTTTTTTGGGGTGGGGGCATATTCTTACAGATATATACATATATATATGTTCATAAAATGTACATATGCTGCCATCATTAACTTCTGACTCATAATATGTAATTTGTTAGTATAGTGGGTGTAAATCTCCATTTTATGTTGTCTTCTTGACAAGTCAAAATCTGGCTGGATGTTAGATTGTCACTTTAACTTTGAAATGTGGCTGCTTTGAATGTTCTTCTGCAGGGGTTTCTTGGCAAAAAGGCTCTTGTAAGGTCCTTTTTTAGTTTTAATTAAGTCTATATATTACATCAGTGAATCCACCTAAGTGAACCCAGCAAAAAAGTCACCCAGGTGGATGTGGGATGGAATCACCACTGCTAACCTCTAGAACATTTCCTAGGCTGCGCTAGACCCAGGGACATTCATTCTGTGTATAAAATATTACTTGAGGTTGGGAATGTAGATCAGTGGAAGAACCTTTGCCTAGCATAAAATATGACTTGAGCTTAATGCATTTCATTTTAAAGTTAAACATAAATAGATGCCCTCATGTTTTTCTCCTGCATCCTAAGTAGATCGCCTTGCACTATCCTTAGAGTACACACACACACCTGGGATTCGTGGACCTCCTTAAGAAGGTCAGCGAGCCAGTTCTCACACAGGCAAGAATGTTTTTTCCATATTAAAATACAAAACCTGCTCATTTCAGTTGCTCAGCCATTTTATAGAAAAAGAAATGACTTTGAAATGAATTGTCTTTATAGAGATCCATAATTTGCAAGCAAAATCCTCAACTACAGAATGTGAAATGTTCTAAGCAACAGCTGTGAGCATTTCAAACGTGCACTACTTTTTAACGGTTCAAGTGTTGCCAAGGAAAATTGAGCTGGCTTCAAAATTTTCTTGGTTTTTAATTCTGCACTTACCCCCTCAATCAGAGATTGAGAAAACAAGGTTTGCTTGGTTGGGATACTGAGCTGTCATAAAGACTAAGAAATGGAAATAGAAATGTCTTAAAGGTAGAGACTACACAATAAGGCTCAGCTAATGATCACTATCAGAGCAAAGATGGGCACTAGTTATGTGGTAGCCAAGGGAGCTTGTATTAAGAATTGATGGGCTGGGAAGGTGGCTAAGTGGTAGAGTGCTTGCCTTGCATGCCTGAGGCCCTGGGTTCGACTCCTCAGCACCACATAAGCAAAAAGAAAAAAGCTGGAAGTGGCACTGTAGCTCAAGTGGTAGAGCGCTAGCCTGGAGCTGAAGAGCTGTGTACTCTAAGGATAGTGCCCAGGCCCAGAGTTCAGGCCCCCCCCCCACACACAAAAAATTGTCATACCAGTGTTTCCTATTTCAGCTCAAAATAGGAATATTTTTCTTCTATGGCCATCTTTAAACCATTCAGAGGAATCTGTAGTCAGGAGTATTGACCAACATTGGAGGAAAATGCATTTTTTGTTGCACTTGTATATATAAGGTGTAGAGTTTTGTTTATATACTTATTTTCCTTAATTGTTCAGAAAACATGACATGAAGCTGAGAGGGAAAACTAGACCCCCCCCCCCCAAAAAAAAAAATTAGTGTTGGTCCTGGGACTTGAACTAAGAGCCTTGGCGCAGTCTCTGGAGTCTCTGTATTCAAGGCTAGCACTTTACCACTTGAGCCACAGCGCCACTTCCTAATTTTTGGTGGTTAATTGGAGATGAGAGTCACACTGACTTTCCTGCCTGGCTTTGAATCACGATCCTCAAACGTCAGCCTCCTAAGTAGCCATCTGCACCCCAGATAGTAAGGTTATTTATTTATTTTGGGTCTGGTCGTGGGGCCTGAACTCTGGGTCTGGGCGCTGTCCCTCAGCTCTTCAGCTCAAGGCTAGTGCTCTACCACTTGAGCCACAGCGCCACTGCTGGCTTTTTTCTTTTTGCTTATGTGGTGCTGAGGAATCGAACCCAGGGCCTCAGGCATGCAAGGCAAGCGCTCTACCACTGAGCCACCTTCCCAGCCCCAGTAAGGTTATTATTGTTATTTTTCCACCTGGATTTCCCCCTCCATTTCTCTCAGATTTAGACAATTAGTAATCTGACATGTACAGATCTCTGCATTTCTTTTTCTTTTTTTTGCTCGTCCTGGTTTGAACTCAGGGCCTCAGCTTCCTGAGCACTTAAGCCGCACCCTGAGCCCTAAAGAATTTTCTTTTCATTAAAAGGAGGAGGAAAGAAAAGAAGCCTATGTGGTTCTGGAAAGGCACCCTTTGGCTCAGGGGCTCACCAAGGCAGCCAAAGCACATCTGTACGTGTGTAATCACGTGTTGTAGGCAGAACAACTCTTCCCGGACTCAGCTTGGCCCATGAGCGTGTGTGTGTGTGCGCGCGCGTGTGCAAGGCTCGGGGTGGGGTGGGAACCGCGTCCCACCTGCAAGAGCTACCTGAGCGCTGGCCTCATCAGGCTCGCGGCGGAGCCTGAGGAGCGAAGCTTTACCCAACCCGAGGCCTGGCACCAGGGGGTGGAGGTGCCGGGTCGGGCCGCCACAGGCTGGGGGGCGGCCGGGGACTCGGGCCGGCCCGCGCGGCACGGGCCGCACCTCGTTTCTTTCTGCGCAGCGCGGGCTCGCGTCCTGGGTGGGGCTCGCTCCGGTCAAGACGGCGGGGGCCACACGGACCGCTGGGGAGGCGGGGAGGCAAGGCCTCCGGCGGAGAAGGAACGCCGTCCGACCCTCCCTTGGTGCCGGCCACCCGCGAGGCGAGATCCCCATCGGTCCGGTAGGCACTGGCGCGTTCTGCCCCAGCCCACCCGGCCGCTCGACGGAAGCGGCCGCCCCGGGTTCCGAGCTCGCGGCTGCATCCGGGTCCTCCACGCCACGGCCCAATCCTCGACCTCCTCTCTTCCCACCCTCCTGTTTCCCCGCCCCCCGTCCCCACCGCCAATCCCTAATCCGCTCTCATCCGAACTTGCTGGTAGGGGAGTGAAGGCGCGCGTCAGCCAATGAGGCGTCTCTTCCCGTTTGAAGTCTCCAGTGGGCGGGCGTCGGAGGCGGGCGCTGCGGGACCGGAGGTTTGGTTGCGTGTGTGCCATGGACTCAGCCGCCCGGTGATATTGACAATAGGAGAGAGAAAGGGGCATTCACGGGGACCCGCGGCGGGTAGCGAACGGCGGCTCTGGCAGCGGCGGCTCCGGCTTCAGCGGCTCTTCCTGCTCCTCCTCCCGACTCTTCCGCCGGCCGCGGCTGCTGCAGGTCCCGTCTTCCTCCCTCCCTCCCCCCCTCCCCACCTCGCCGCCGCCGCCGCCGCCGCCGCCGCCGCCGGGTCCGGGGTAACGAGCTGAGGCGCCGCCCGCCGGGAATGTGAGCGAGGAGCCGCCGGCGGAGCCGCAACGGGGTCAGTGCCGATTTGATGGGCCGGGCCCGCGGGGGAGGATCGTGAGGCCGCTGCCGTCGCCGCCGCCGCCGGAACGCTCAGGATCGGGTCCGGCCCGAGAGGCCTAGAGGCGCCGCCGCCGCCGCCGCTGCCGCGGAACCGGAGAGACGCCGCACCGGACAGCCATCGCCCCGGGCTCCCCGCCGCCGCCCGGACCTCCCCCCGCACGTCCCGGCCCCGCCGCCCGCCCCCGCCGCGGCCCCCTCGCCCGTCCTCCGCCCCTCGAAACCACAGATCGTCTCTGGATTCTTCCCCACGAGCTTCAAGGTAACTTTCGTCGCTCTGCCACCGCGGATCGCCCGCCTCCCTTCCTCCGGCCCGGTCCCCGCGGGGGAACCTGCCGGGCGCCGGCCGGGGGAACCGGGAGGCCCAGGCCGGCGAGGGGCGCGGCGGGGCGGGGTGCGCCCGCGGGAGCGCCCGTGCCACTTGTCTGATTTTTTTTTTTTTACCTGCAAAGGCTGGATGCGGTCTCCCCTTGGCTCTGCCTCCTCCCTCCTCCTCCTCTCCACCGGGTGCTCCGAGGCGCGTACCTGTCCCTCCTTTCATCCCCGTGGCGGGGGCGGTGGACGGAATGGGTTGGGTATGGTGCGGTCGGATCGGTAGCGGCTGGTCTCCTCTCCCCGGGCTTGGGGTGTATGTGTGTGATCAGTCGGACAGACCAGCCCATTCCCGGCCCCCCTCCTTCCTCTCTCGGATTATCCAGGCTCGCACATAAATGTTACGGGGCCGCTGTTTGTGAAGGTTGCTCCGGCCCAGGCGAAACCTGTTTCCCGGGGCTTTGCACGGCTCTGTCGCTGCCGCTGCCTTCCCTTCCGTTCTGCAACGCTTTAGGGTTGAGATCCTTGACGTTTATTCTGGGGCTGCGGGCAGACGAGGCATTCAAGCAAAAATAAATAAATAAATAAATACCCCTGCTACCCATAGACGTTTGTTGGAGATGGCAGATGAAGGTATGATGAGACGCGATGGAGGAATGAACGATTTACAGGATTCTCGTGTCGTTAGGGTGAGAATGAAATCCCAACAATTCGCATAGAAGCTTGGAAAATCCGCCCCTGAATTTACAACATTTAATGTGACGCGGAGCTTCTTGCTCATGCAGTCATATTTTAAAGTGATCGTTCATTTTCTATCACGTTCCTCATTTGCCATTCTGGATTGAACCTCACACATTGCATTTAGGGCAAAACGTAGGTAGATTTAAAAAAAATAAAAACACCACAACTTTTTAATGAAAGAGAACCCAAAGAAGACTTCAACGTTGTGGTGTTTTCCCCTCCACCCAATGTTTTTTGCTTTTTTTTTTTTAACTGTGTCAGGATCCATGTAGTCCATTCAGTAGGAAATCCCTCTTCTCTCTGTCTCTTTTTAATTTTTTTTTGGTGCGGGTCTGAGGGCTTGAACTCAGGGCTTGGGCACTCTTCCTTAGGTTTTTTTTTTTTCTACTCAAAGCTAGCTCTCTATCACTAGAGCCACAGCTCTACTTCCAGCTTTTTTGGTGGTTAATTGGAGAGAAGAGTCTCATGGACTTTCTTGCCCTAGCTGGCTTTGAACTACAATCCTCAGAGCTCAGCTTCCTGACTAGCTAGGACTGCAGGCATGAGCCACTAGCACCAGGCTCTCCCTTACTCTTTTCACACTTGGCTTATGTATGGGCATTGCCCCTGTATGCATTATTTCCACTGGACTTTGCCATTAATCTTGCATGGAGCCTCAGTTCCATGGAAATGATGGCATGATCTTTAGGTTGCTCACTACTTTTATGAATTACTTCATTTTAATAATTTGAGAGGGCTAAAAAAATGCAAAAGAACCGTTTCCTTCCATCAGTTTTGTGGAGTGAAAATTGGTATTTGAACCTCCAAACCTAAACCAGAGAAGACAACCTAGTTGTCTTATGGTAGGGTTTGAAGTTAGGTTTTTTAGTTCAGCTTGGTGCTTGGTTTCTTCCTAGTTTTGTTTTTTTTTTGAATGTTCAGAATTTAAGATGGTTTCATTCAAAAAGACCTCCTTGAAATGATTTTAATTAAGTCCTTTTGTGAGTTCTGTTCCAAGTAATCTAGCCTGTTCTGATGCACTGTGGTGGCTTATCATAGCAAAGCCAGTGCATCAATTTGAAATTAATCGCTCAGATGGTTTCAGTAGTTGCAAGTTTCACTTTGCTGTGATATATTGGTGTACATTCTTGAAGTTCAGTTGGGTTTTCAGCTTCAGAGCCCATTCATAATATTAAATATGTTGAGGAAATGTATCCATGGAAGTTTTCCAGCTTCAGACTAGTTCCAAAATTACTTCAAGTATCACAAAATGAGAAGAGCTTTGCAGCTAGAATGGGAAGACAGCAAGCCTAGAGTTGAAGTCTCCATGAGAGTTCATTCTCTCAGTGCTTACAGTAGAGACTGCCCATACATTTTGTTACAACATGCTTACATGATAACAGTATTATTATTATTATTTGCCAAATTCTCATGTTTACCCAGACACATGGGACTCTTTTTTTTTTTTTTGGATCTGGTCGTGGGGTCTGAACTCTGGGCCTGTGTGCTGTCCCTCAGCTCTTCAGCTCAAGGCTAGCGCTCTACCACTTGAGCCACAGCACCTTTTCCGGCTTTTTTCTGCTTATATCGTGCTGAGGAATGGAACCCAGGGCTTCATGCATGCAAGGCAAGCACTCTATCACTGAGCCAACTTCCCAGCCCCACATGGGACTCTTTTTAACTGGTTTAATTGGGCATACATTCGTTCCTATTTTCCTGAGTGATGTTTGTGGGCACTTTAGAATTCATGTACGTGAACGTGAACGCCTCACCTTGGGGATGTGTTGATGATAGTCTTTCTTTTCAGTAGGGATATGTCCTCAGCACCAACTACTCCTCCATCAGTGGATAAAGTAGACGGATTTTCTCGGAAGTCCGTCAGAAAAGCCAGACAGAAGAGGTCGCAAAGTTCCTCCCAGTTTAGGTCTCAGGGCAAGCCTATTGAGTTAACACCTCTGCCGCTGCTCAAAGGTAAGGTTCATGACCAGGTGACAACATTCTTTTTAAATTGATCCTCCTGTAGATTTGTATATACATTTTGTGGAGTTTCAAATCTGTTAAAATTCCGTGTTGCCTCAGATACATGGAACTTCCTAGTATGGGACCAGGTATACCCTCCCTCTGTCCCTCCCTCTCTCCCTTTCTCCCTTTCTTCCTTCCTCCCTTCCTCCCTTCCTTCCTTCCTCCCTCCTTTCCTCCTTCCTTCTTTCTTTCTTTCTCTTTCTTTCTTTCTTCCTTTCTTTTTGCCCCCTCTCCCCCTTTCTTTCTTGAACTCAGAGCCTGGGTTTGTGCTCAAGGCTAGATCTCTACCACTTGAGCTGAAGCTCCACTTCTGTCTTTCCCTCCCTCCCTCCCTCCCTCCCTCCCTCCCTCCCTCCCTCCCTCCCTCCTTCCCTCCCTCCTTCCCTCCCTCCTTCGCTCCCCCCCCCTCTTTCTTTCTTTCTTCTTTCTGGTGTATGTGTTTGTGTGTGAGAGAGAGAGAGAAAGAGAGAGAGATTAGCTAGAGATAAAAGTTTCACAGACTTTCCTGTCTGGGCTGGGTTTGAACTGCTATCCTTGGATCTCAGTTTCCTGAGTAACTAGGATTACAGATGTGAGCCACGGGTAAGTGGCTCATTCTCCTTTTTTAATAAAGGCTTATGTAAATAGCTGTAGACAAGTGAAACTTGGTTGTATCAGGAGACTGTCAAGTTGACAAATGAAAAACTAAATTGCAGAGATGTCTGGGTCTGTGGTTTTCATTTTTTTCTTTTGGTGGGTAGGTCTAGCTGTCAGGTTCAGGGGATGGGTACTACTTACTTGTAAAGGGAAAATAAGGACCAAGAAAAAGTTTATAATTGATTACATGCTTTGTTTTGAGATAGTACAAATCAAAAGAGTAGATCAGACTTGGGAGTTTAACCTTAAAAGTAAGTTTTTAATATAAGAACTGATGTTTTCCTAAATTACACCTTTCAACTTTTGTTTTGGTATGTGAGTACTTTTTATCCTTTTGAATTTCCATCTGTTTATGTTTATGAACAGGTACTATTTGAAATGTATTAGAATAATAGCTGGTATAGTGTGGAAACTAAGAATCTACCTTTGAATCTACCTTTGTTTGCTAAATCAAAGACTGAGTAGAAAGGGGACCTGAGCAATAAAGTGGATTTTCGGCTCAGAGGAAACCAGACAGCATGCTTTACTAGTTCATTAATACACACTCCTTTCTGTAACAGTCTGGTTCTTCAAACCCTCTCCCTATGGCAACCACCATTCTGTCTTTTGTGTCAATGAATATTTCTACTGTAGTACCTCTTGTAAATGGAGTCATGCAATCTTTACCATTTTGTGACTGGCTTATTTCACTTAGCATAATGTCATTAAGGTCCATGTTTAGCATGTGTCACAGTTTTATTCTTTTTGAAGGCTGAATAATATTTCATTTACTTTACATTTGGATCTCTTCCAGTAGCTTTTAGTTGTTGTGAATTCTCTGAGCATGGGTATGCATATATAACTCTTTGAGACCTTGCTTTCATTTCTTTTGGATATACGCTCAGAAATAGAATCTTGATGGATTATATTTGTTTTTTGGGGGAGGGAGAATTACCATATAGTTTTCAAAAGCAGCTATATCCAATCAGTAGTGTACATCCTCACCAACTTGTCATTTTCTCTTCATGTCTGTTTTAGCCAAGAGGGTGTGAAATGGTATTTCATTGTGTGTGTTGTGTGTGTTTGGTGGTACTGAGCTTTGAGCTTAGGGCTTTGTGTTTGTTAGGTAGGTAGTTTATGACTAGAGCTATGTCTCTACCCTTTTTTGCTATAGTTTTCTTCTTCTTTTTTCTTCTTCTTCTTCTATTTCTGTGCTGTTTCTGAGGCTTGAACTCAGGGCCTGAGCACTGTTTCTTAGCTTTTTTATGCTTTACTACTTGAACAACAATACTTTTGGCTTTTTGGTAGTTAATTGGAGTTAACTGTCCTACTTGGGCTGGCTTGGAAGTGCAGTCCTCAGATCTCGGCTTCCTGAGTAACTAGGATTACATGTGTAAGCCATTGGCACCTGGCACTTCATTTTTCAGATAGAGTAGTATTTTTGTCATGGGTTGGCTTCATTCAGACCCAGATCCTCCTCCTTTCTGTGTTCAGGCCTAACCTTCATTGTGGTTTTGATTTGCATTTTTATTGAATGGTGTTAAACATCTGTTCATGTGATTTTTGGCTGTGTTCAGATCTTTTTCTTAATATGTTTTGTTTAGTTTTTGGGTGTTATTGGAGTTTGTAGTGTATTTGGGTATTTTAGTGTTTGCTTGTAGCTCTTTTGGCTTTTAATTGTTTTATGGATAGGTTCTCTCATCTATTTATCTATTTATGCCTGGGCTAGCCTTGCCTAGACTATGATCTCCTATTTCTGCTTTCTGTGTAGCTGGGATGACAGATGTGTCCCATCATAGACAGCTTATTGGTTAAAATAAGGGTTTTGCTAACTTTTTGCGTGGGTTGCTCTAGGTCCTTGATTCTTTTGATCTCAGCCTACCAAGTAAGTAGGATTGTAGGTGTCAGCCACCATACACAATTTTTTCTTTCAACTTTTTTTTGGGGGTCTGGTAGTGAGGCCTGAACTCTGGGCCTGGGCGCTGTCCCTCAGCTCTTCAGCTCAAGACTAGTGCTCTACCACTTGAGCCACAGTGCCACTTCTGGCTTTTTTCTTTTTTGCTTATGTGGTGCTGAGGAATCGAACCCAGGGCCTCATGCATGCAAGGCAAGCGCTCTACCACTGAGCCACCTTCCCAGCCCCCCCCTTTTTTTTTGGTCGGTCGTGGGGCCTGAACTCTGGGCCTGGGCACTGACATTCAGCTCTTCAGCCCAGGCAGACAAATTCCTAGGATTCTTATCTCCAATTAACCAGTAAAAAGTGGGAAGTGGAGCTGTGGTTTAAGTGGTAGAGCACCAGCATTGAGCAAAAAAGCCAGAGATCTCAAGACCCTGAATGCAACCCCTGTACTGATACCAAAAATACACACACACACAAAACACAGAAAAAAACAAGAAATTTATGATAGCTATTCTATTAAATTGAAAACACTGACAAACTGTTTATTTCAAGTTTTTTTTCTTTTTGGCCAGTTGTGGGGCCTGAACTTGGCCTGGGCGCTGTCCCTCAGCTCTTCAGCTCAGGGCTAGCGCTCTACCACTTGAGCCACAGTGCCACTTCCAGCTTTTTCTGCTTATGTGGTGCTGAGGAATCGAACCCAGGGCCTCATGCATGCAAAGAAAGCACTCTACCACTGAGCCACCTTCCCAGCCCTTTCTTTCAACTTTTGAAGTGGAGATTGATAGTATTAAAAGTTAACAAAAAAATCTGTTCTTCAGGTGATTTTTGTGAGTTTATTTTGCCTATGTGGAGAATTATAAAGTAGCAGAACCTAGAACATACAAAACCAATTCAGACTTCCAAAGCATGATTCTGGGTCATGAGCATGATCTGGGTGTAAGTACTATGGAGAGAGTATTCCCAGCAATGATATTTCTTTTTTTTTCTTTTTTTGCCAGTCCTGGAGCTTGAACTCAGGGCCTGGACACTGTCTTTGAGCCTCTCTGTGCTCAAGGCTAGCACTCTTCCACTTGAGCCACAGCACCACTTCTGGCTTTTTCTATTTATGTGATGCTAAGGAATCGAACCCAGGGCTTCATGCATGTGAGGCAAGCACTCTACCACTAAGCCACATTCCCAGCGCCCAGCAATGAGATTTCTTTACCTGTCTACAGAGTTTAACATGAGGAAGTGCAGTCAGATAGATATACATCAGAAAGTTGTATCTGCTCTTTAATGTTATAGGGAACCTAAGGAGTTTAAGGGATATTTGTTTTCCTTAGATTGATTTTTTTTTTCTGTTACCTTCTTACTGACTTTTTGAAAGTAATTTATAGACTATGAAGAAAATAATAGGAGAAGGACAGGTAAGGTTTCTTGTAACTGTAATCCTTGCTATCTAGAAGTCTGAGATTTGAGGACTGTGGTTTGAAGCCAGCTCAGTCAGACTCTTACTTCCACTTAACCAACAAAAAAAAGTTGGAAGTGGAGCTCTGGCTCCTACAGTAGAGGGCAAGCCTTGAGTGCTAAAGCCAAGGTAAAGGTAAGGGACAGTGTTTAGGCCCTGAGTTCAAGCCAAAGTTCTGGCATGTTTGTGTATGTGTGTACATATGTGCACACACATGGAAATATTAGAGGAATTTCTTTTGTAATTTCTTTTTTTGCTATTACCTTAGAAAACCCAGAATAAATTAGAACAAATTGTGTATACATGCCAGAGGTCTGATTTAGATTTTATTTATTTATTTAATTTTTGCTGATACTATGGCTTGAACTCAGAGCCTGGGTGCTGTGTCCCTGAGCCTCTTGGTGCTCAAGGCTACCACTCTACCACTAGCACCACTAGTTGTTAGTTCTGAGTAGTTTATTGGAGATAAGAGTCTCATGAACTTTCCTGCCTGGTCTGGCTTTGAACTGCTATCCTCAGATCTTAGCCTCCTGAGTAGCTAGGATAACAGGCCTGAGCCACTGGTGTCCCGCTAAATTTCATTTTTTATAGTATTTCTTTTAACTTAGAAGGTTTGAGTTTACTTAGGGGTACAATATACTTACAATTGAATTTTCTGACTTGCTTTAAAGAATAAAAGACATGTTCTTTAATTTTAGAGGAGTTTAAATATGGAAACTTTATATATTATTTTTTGATATGTAAATTTTGAAATTTCAGAAAGTAGACATTAGTAATCATAACATGCATTAATAGAATGCTTGTATACATCACAGAAGTTGACTGACAGACTTACAAATACTACTTTTTTTTTTTTTTTTTGGTGGGGCTTGAACTCTGGGCCTGGGTGCTGTCTCTCAGCAATTCAGTTCAAGGCTAGTGCTCTGCCACTTGAGCACAACGCCATTTCCAGTTTTCTGGTGGTTTATTGGAGATACAATTCCCATG